AGACCTGCAACAACTTATGACGCTCAACAACGCCTGCCGCGACTTCGGGCTCACCATCGTCATGGTACAGGACGTCGACATAGCCCCAGCTATCAGAATCTTGGAGCACGAGTTGGAGGTCATCCATGACTTCGTGTACTTAGGGTCCCTCCCCTCTCTCTCGACTCTGAGATCAACAAGCGCATCGGCAAGGCAGCTACCACTATGTCCAGACTAACCAAAAGGGCCTGGAATAACAGCAAGTTATCAGAGCACACAAAGATTCTGATCTACAGTGCTTGCGTTGTGAGCACCCTTTTGTACGGCAGTGAGTCTTGGACTTTGAGAGCAAGACAAGAACAAAAGCTCAAAACCTTCCACATGCGATGTCTCCGTCGTATACTGAACATTACATGGCAGGACAAAGTTACCAACAATACAGTCCTGGAGAGAGCCCAGACCACGAGCATGCACACATTGCTCAAACAGAGACGCCTGCGCTGGCTTGGCCATGTCGTGCGTATGGAGGATGGGCGGATCCCAAAGGATCTACTGTATGGAAACTTGTTCAGGGAAAGCGCCCTAAAGGCAGACCACAGCTGCGTCACAAAGACGTTTGCAAGAGGGACCTGAAAGCCCTAAACATAGACTTGAACACCTGGGAACAGTCAGCCTCAGACCGATCTGCCTGGAGGTCTGCAGCGAAAAAAGGTCTTTCCAGGTATGAAGAAACAGTAGCCCAGCAATCCGAGGAGAAAAGAGCAAGAAGAAAGGCTTCTGCACAGGTGGCCAGACAAGCGACAGACTTTGTATGTGACACCTGTGGTAGTGATTGTCACAAGAATCGGCCTTGTCAGTCACTCCAGATGCTGCTCTAGAACTCCATAGTCCTCCGAGACTGAAGGATGCCATATATATATATATATATATATATATATATATATATATATATATATATATATATATATATATATATATATATATATAATATATATATATATATATATATATATATATATATATATATATATATATATATATATATATATATATATATATATATATATATGCGTTTGCGTGCGTGTGTGTGTTCGTGTGCATAACTGTGCACTGAGCAATTAGTGTTACGAAACAAGTTTGAACAAGTTGTAGCATGTTCCGGGACTTGACCAAATTTCATATAATGGAGGGACTAAACGATAATGGTTTTCGCCCCGGTAAATGATATATATAGAGATAATTAGGGAGGAGAGAAAGAGAGAGGAGAGTGAGAGAAATAGAAAGAAAGAATAAGAGAGAGAGACAGAGAGAAAAAAACAGACAGACAGAGAGGCAGCCAGACATTCAGACAAACAGGCAGACACGCAGACAAGACCTCTTACGAGAGTCTCCAGACTGCCGGATCTTTAAGTCCAGACAATTTATGGACGTCCGTTTAAATATGAATCAACAGTGAATGATAATAATGGAACGAAACCCGGATATAGCAATAAAAACTGGCCATTATCTTTTAGTGCCCTCAAGGTATGAAAACAGCTTTGGATGTTTTTGTTTTACCTTTAGCACATGAAAGCAATGCATCAGGTTTTTATATATATCTCTCTATATATATATTTCTTTCTTCGTTCTTTCTCTCTCTCTCTCGCTCTTTTCTCTTTCTTTCTCTCTGTCTTCTTTCTCTCTCTCTTTCTGTCTTCTCACTCTCTCGCTCTCTCTTTTCATCTTTCTCTATCTTTCGTTCTCTCTCTACGTCTCTTTCTCCCTCTTTTCTCTCTCCCTCTCTCTTCTATCTCTCTCTCTATCTATCTATCTCTCTCTCTCTCTCTCTCTCTCTCTCTCTCTCTCTCTCTCTCTCTCTCTCTCTCTCTCTCTCTCTCTCTCTCTCTCTCTCTCTCTCTCTCTCTCTCTCTCTCCCTCTTCCCTCTCTCCCTCTCTCCCTCTCCCCTCTCCCCTCTCTCCCTCTCTCCCTCCCTCCTCTCTCCCTCCCTCACTCTCTCCTCCCTTCCTTTCTCCCTCCCTCCCCTCTCTCCTCTCCCCCTCCCCTCTCTCCCTCCCCTCCTCTCTCCCTCCCTCCCCTCTCTGCCTCCCTCTCTCTCTCTCTCCCTCCTCCTCTCCCTCTCTCCTCCCTCCCTCTCTCCCTCCCCCTCCCTCTCTCCCTCCCTCCCTCTCTCTCCTCCCTCCCTCCCTCTCTCCCTCCCTCCCTCCCTCCTCCCTCCCTCCCTCTCTCTCTCTCTCTCTCTCTCTCTCTCTCTCCTTCCCTCCGAACAACAAATAATAATTTCATTCTAATCATTTAACCAATAAACTACCTTTTTTATCCAACATGTGCATTAAAGTCGAGCGTCCTGTTCCGTCCAGACATCAGTGTCAGAGATGAAGTCAATCATTCACTCATTCACCGCCGGACGTCAACAGAAATAAAATATTTATGAATTCAGCTGCATGACTATAATCGTGCAAACATCGTCAAGTTTGAGTGACAGCTTTGCAGAAATGTTATTGGCGTTAAAATTGACCAAAC